TTAGATAAAAATAATTTTTAATATTATGAGGTCTAATTTAATTTTTTTTAATAAAAATATTGTGTAATTTGATATCGTATGAATTACACAATACATTTTTAATTTAATTAGAAAACTTGAAGGATTTTTTCTTTCCTTTGGCCGAACAAAATAGAAGTTATTGAATTTGATGAAGTTTCGTGAATTGGTAAAAGTATTTCTACAAGTAAGCTTGCATTGATGCATAATTTCAACCAAGTTGACTTTAACCTGTCCAAATCGTACGCATTAGAAGCAGATCAACATATAAGAACGTGAAGTTGGATTTTGAGTTTGACACTTCAAACGCCCAAAAATTTGTAAAGGGGGGATGGATTATATAAGTCAAATTAAAAGCAAAAATGTTAGAGGAAATGGTATTGAATCTAATTTACTTCTTTATTCATTATTATTATTATTTTTGTTTAAATTTCCGTTTTTGTTTCATTTCATGTGACCGTGGAATTGGTGCCTACCTCGCGGTCCAGTTGGAAACCATCCCAATTGTTCTTTTCCCCCCTTTTTTTTTTTTTTTTAAACTAATTAAAAGTCATACAACATGCATCTATAAAAATGGAAGTCTCTTTATCTCATAGGTAAAATCTATAACCATACATAACACACAGTTAAACATAGGTAGAGATGGAAAAAATAAATAAATAAGGCAATGTTAAGTTTTTAAGCGAGTATTTTAGGCAATTAAAATTTGAAACTTTAAATTAAAGATTTTAAATTCAAATATTGAGATTGTGTAAAGAAAATTTAGATAAAAAAATTATTTTTTATTATATAACTTATTATATGATGTATAAAAAATTAAAGTGTTAAATTGGTTTTTACAATACCATATTTACTTAATTAACATCGAAAACATGTTATCTAAAAAAATAGTTTGAAAAAATAATTACTTAAAAATAATAGTACTAGAATATATATATATTTAATTCGCTCGATGAATCTTACCCCTTGCACCAACAACGTGAAAATAACGTTTAGGCCAACGAAATTGCCTCACTCTAAAGTAAAATAAATACATTATTCTCGCTAAACAAATGACGTTTTTGTTTCTTTTATTCTAAATGGTTAGAGTATCTTAAGTCAATTTATGTACATTTCTATACTATTTACCTTCAAAATCATTTTAAAGGTGCTCTCTTAGTGCATATGTTCTGGATAAAACTTGTCATTGTCTTAATAACGTGTGAAGTTAAAATTTATAAACTTTAAAAAATTTAAACACAAATTATTAATAATAATTAATTTTTACATTTATATAGTTCATGATCATATTATTCTGTCAATGTAAGATTTGGCACCAACATCACTCTAATGTGTTTAGAACTTTTTTTTTTCTTTTTTTTTTTTATTTTGGTTGCACAATAAGAGGCAACCACGTACTATCTCTTATTTTATTCCACCTGTATATCATGTGACTTGAATTCAAGATCTCTTGTTTTCAATGAAAAGAGATAACCATTGAATTATTTAGATCGTTTGCTTAATATGTTTAGAACTTAATTTCAAACCTAACATAACAAGACTTCGGTGTGGTAATATTTGTTCTTTGAGATAAATTTGCGATAGGATGGTAGGAGGGAGTACAAAAAGAGAAAAATAAAAATTAACATCTCAGCATTTGACCTACATGATTATATATGGACAAAACTAAATTTCTAGAAGTGCAGCCAGAATATAATGGAAAGTAATCATCTTTTATATCTAATTTTACACTATCTGTATATCATATGATTTAAATTTAAAATTTTTTATTTTCAACAAAAAAATATTATCATTAAATTATTTAAATCATTGGTGAAAGTTAGTAAAATCTTTTAGTAAAATGCTAGAGTAGAATTTCTCAAAAAAAATTTGTCCATTTTAATTTAGTTGTTTCATTTACCCTTTTTTATTTTATTTTTTAATTTTATACATATCTAGACAATTTAAAAATTAGTGAAAATTTCATAAGTAATTAAGTATCAAAATAATATCTTTATCTTTAATAAAAAAA